CTTTTAGCTCAACGGCAGCAAATTCCCTTAAATATCACTATAAATTTAGCACGGCCCATAAGACTCATCTGATTGGTCCAAATGCTCCCCAGGTTAGTTCAATACTCGGGGTTTCTTTTAACTGATTGGCGGATCAAATCGGAAATGCTTTACTTTTCTGATTGGTTGCGCTTAGGGTGAGGGCGGGTCAGGTGGGCGTGGCTTGCCAAGACGCAGTGAGCTGTCATTGGAATATGGACCCGGCATTTCCCGAGCTTCATACCGTCGCCTAGGTCGCAAGGGGCGGGCCTTTGGCACGCTCCTTTTTATGGTCTTTGTTATTGGCCAGAATATGCCGCTACTCACGGAACTATGAGCCCATTGGCACAAAAGCGCAAGGGGGCAGTCCATGCCCATCGCCATTTTGCAGAGAAGAACCGAAATCCTAAGGGCTGCGGTATTTACGATCTAACCTAATTGTGGGCTCAGAGCGGGGACAGGTGAGTCTCAGGCTGGAGGGGAGGAATGGTGGTGCCTAGGACCTGGCTGGATTTCCGTGCCGGCAGTAAGGGGTTGGGCTCTGCTGTCCTTTCTCTGTCCTCTCCAGGGTTGGGCTGTAGAGAACCGAAAGAGGCTTGGTGGGTTCCGAGGGAGGCCCCGGAGAAAGGACATTTGGAGACCTTTCGTGGGGACCCTGGTGCCCGTGTCCGCGGCCACTCGCTCACTTTGGCTGCTTGCTCTCTTTCATGCTCCTGAGGTCTCCCCGATGTTTCTACTTGATGGACACTTGGTGCTTGGATGCAGGGAGGGTGCGAGGAGTCCCGAGGTCCGCTGTCTGTACACCAAAAGGTTGCAAGCAAAGGAGGGGCTCTGAGACCGCGGCAGATGAGCATCCAGGAGAGAAAGGGAGAAGCTAGACGGCGGGGTACTGTGTGGCCAGTGAGGCACAAATGGTTGCCTCAAGTGACGTCCAGGTGGGAAGAAGTACCTTCCCTGCCCAGAGTGTCCTTACGGTCTTCCTCTTTCACCTCTGCGATTTGTCTTTTCAGAAACAAAGAACCTCTAGTGTCACTCAGAAGATTTTGACAGCTGCCACACGAAGTTGTATAGCTTCTCTGTGGACGTTTACTTTTTAAATATTGTCCCCCTTTTAAAAAATTTGAATGAAAGTTTACTAATCATAATGGTTTTCATTCAATCATAGGCATTTTGTTTAATAACATTACTTACAATTGGTTAATGTTATTAAAGGGAGCTCTGGTGGCCTAATGGCAGGAAGCTGCGCTGCAATTCCGAAGGCTGTGGTTCGAATCCACCAGCTTGATGGTCAATCTCCTGTGTAATTAACTGCCTCTGAAAACCCGCCCGAGGGTCAGCTATGGGTCAGTTCTGACTCCACACCACAACGATATAATTAATGACAATGTCTCTTCAAACTCTTATGGGCATTTTATGAATGAGCGGGGAAACAAACCCTAGTGTCATGGTGGATTAGGCGTTGGATTGCTCACTTGATATATTGGCTCTTCGGATCTACCATCCACTCTGCCCGAGACATGACGCAGCGACTTCTATAAAGATGTACAGTCATGGAAAACCTATAGGGCATTTCGACTCTGTTTTGTTGGGTCACTATGAGTGGGAATAGAGTCTTAGGTAGTGACTTGTTTTTAATGAATGGTGAAAGCATTTAGCAATCCCTCACTTGTGTACAGGAGAGCTGCTTAGGTAGTTTAATGTTTGCTTGGATGTAACCCACAATGTTCAGCTGCTGTAGGAAATTGTTGATTTCAGCAGAGGGGTGGGGGTCTCCCTTCTGAGGTCACTGGGATCAGGATGGATGAGCGATTGGCTGTCCTTGCTGCATCTTCCCCTTTCCCTACCCACGAATTACATTTTCTGCAATTTAAATTTCCATCAGCTTTGGAACAAAGCTGTCTTGGTCTTTTGAGAAATTAGTGTCCGTAATTTTCCACGAGTGTAGTCAGTAGTCGGAGGTGGTCAGAGGTGTAGGAACAGTGCTACTACTGTGTGTGTGTGTGTGTGTGTGTGTGAGATTTGAATGAAAGTTTGCAAAACATTTTCGTTACAAGCATTCATACACGTTTTGTTTTATAACACTAATTGTAATTTCTACAATTTAGTTGCCCTTTCGCCCAGTAGTTCTCATTTTCGTTACTCCTTTTGTCATACCCTTTCCTGTCTTCAGGGCTTCATCCTCGTGCAATGGCTGCACTTTCAATCTAACGTGATTTATTATTTTAAGGAGTGAATGTCTTCCTAGTGTTACTGGTCACTTTGTAAGCCTGTTGATTGATTGGCTGTAAGTTGAACCACAGGGATGAGCTTTGTTCCAGGTTCAAGGATGACTTTGGAGCCCTGTAGGTAGGGGTGCCACCAGTTTGCCCCATCAGTAAGCCTCTAGCCCACCTTGCCATGGGTTTGAGTTCTGTCCTACATGTTCCCCTACTCTGCTCAGGACCTTATTCAGCAATCCTTTCAGAGTGGTCAGCAGTGGTAGCCAGCCCCCATCTTGCTCTTCTGGCTTGAGGAGCATCGAATTTGAGGTTTGCATGGGCCATTAGTCCTTTGGATTTTTTTCAGCACATCTTCTCTTTTCTGGACAGTAAGAGACGTAATTGGACTTTAGATGACTGGTTGCAGGTTCTACTTTTAATTAGCACTTCAAGTTCAGTCTTCAAACTCTGTAACCTGTTAGCAAGCTGCGGGGGACCCCTAAAGTAGATTTCTGCAAGGTTAGTAGGTTTAGAAGCGGTCATGGTATGAGGGATATTGTAGCTGATGTTAGATGGATCTTAACTGAAAGCAGGGAATACCAGAAGAATGTGTATATATATATATATATATATGTGTTTCATTGATTATGCAAAGGCAGTTGACTGTGTGGATCACAACAAACTATGGCTGACTCTGAGAAGAATGGGAATCCCAGAACACTTGAAACACATGTGAAACCTATACTTGGACCAAGAGGCAGTCGTCAGAACAAAGCAGAGAAACACTGCATGGTTCAAAATTGGGAAAGGTGTATGCCAGGGATGTGTCCTATCTCCATACCTTTTCAACCTGTATGCAGAACAGATTATCCGGGAGGCTGGGCTCTATGAGGAGATGTGTGGCGTCAGGATTGGTGGAAGATCTATCAACAATCTGCGTTATGCAGATGACACAACCCTGCTTGCTGAAACTGAGGAGGACCTGAAATGCTTGCTGAAGAAGGTCAAGGACTGCAGCCTTCAATATGGATTGAGGCTCAATGTCAAGAAGACAAAGATTCTCACCACTGGACCAATTGACAGAATCAGGATGGATGGTGAAGAGATTGAGATTGTTAACAACTTTAGTCTGCTTGGCTCCATGGTCAACACTCTTGCCACCAGTAACCAGGAAATCAAAAAACATATTGCGATGGGAAAGTCTGTTGTTAGGGACCTCTCCCGGGTACTGAAGAGCAATGGTGTCACTCTAGAGTCTAAAGTGTGTCTGATACAGGCTGTGGTCTTTGCAGTCACTTGTTATGCATCAGAGAGTTGGGCAATGACTAAGGAGGATAGAAGGAGAATTGATGCCTTTGAGCTGTGGTACTGGAGAATAGTATCGAATGTACCATGGACTGCCAAGAAAACAAACAGATTCATCCTGGAGAGGGTTAAACCAGGCTATTCCTTGGAGGCAAGGATTCTGGGGCTTCGTCTGACATACTTAGGACATGTTGTAAGGAGGGACAAGTCCTTAGAGAGGGGCATCATGCTTGGGAGGGTGGAGGGATGGTGAAGAGGGGAAGGCCTTCTATGAGGTGGATTGATTCAGTGACTGAGGTAATCAGGATGGGTGTGTCAGAGACAGTGAGATTGGCACAGGACAGAGCGGAGTTTAGGGCTATTGTACACAGGGTCGCTATGAGTCTCAAGTGACTCGACGACACATAACAACAACAACAACAGTATGACTTTACTATTACCTTCTTTTATCTATCCCACCATAGGTACAGCAAAGAAAGAAAAATACTGTGTGTATATTCAGGTAGAAGTCAGTATTGGTGGGGGGAGGGGAAGGGAGGGAAAAATATGCAACAATGAATGAATGAAAAATCCAACTTTCATGTAAACTTTCATTAAAACACAATTAAAAATTATTTTTAGGCGAGCTCTGGTGGCCTAGTGGCAGGAAACTGCACTGCAATCCCAGAGGTGTGTGGTTCAAATCCACCAGATGCTCTGCTGAAGAAGGAGGAACAATAACCTCCTGTACCAGTCAGATCCAATTTGATGATACACACATAAAAAGAATAAATAAATAAATAAATAAATAATTTTTATACAAAAAAAAAGATGTCAGTATTGGGATTATTCTTTAGGAGGAATAGGGACTGGTGAGCACTGCCAGGAGATCTGGGTTGGTGAGAGTCATCTGTGCCTTGGGTTACACTGTATTTGAATTAAGAAAATTCATCAGGCTTTACAGTTGTACTTGTATGTATATTGTACCTCAGTAAAAAATTGGAAAAACTGGTTGCAAATAAGATGATCAGTCTGATAGACTACTGGATGCCACAAGATCGTGGCAACTACTAAATTTCTAAGGGATCTTGTTCTTTAACCTGCCTGCTTTACTGACGGGTCTTCATGTTGTATAAAACTAGTTCTCCGCTTCCAGACTTCCATGTTATGAGAGTTTAGAAGGAAGTGTTGACTTCTTTGTTGTGTCATCCTTTCGATCTTGAACGTGACTAAGGCCTGTCACCGTGGTGGCAGTGATGTTGAGCACTGAGGCTCTGCTTGTGCATTATCCCACTCACATCCTCCAGTGGGAAAGAGAATTCTCTGGAAGGCATGACAAAGACTTAGTTGAAGTTGCCTTTGAAAGCAAGAGTCTCTATTCTCTATTGGCCAGATTGCCTTTTTACTAGGAGCAGCCAGGAATGGAGATTTGCATTTTATTTCTGTATGACCTGGTTTAATTTTTCTCCCCCTCCCTATTTAGGTGACAATTCAGTTACAATGGGGAACGTTTTTGAAAAGCTTTTTAAGAGTCTGTTTGGAAAAAAAGAGATGCGAATCCTTATGGTGGGTTTGGATGCAGCCGGAAAAACCACCATCCTCTATAAACTGAAGCTGGGAGAGATTGTGACCACGATCCCCACAATAGGTATGTTAGCTACCAGCGCAAGATCATTTTCTCACCTCAGTGTGTTATTCTTTTCGTACTTCTACTCTTGAATATCCTGTTTTGAAAATCTTGTCCCCCCTTAGAGTGTACATTTTTTGAAGACAGAAACCAGGTTGTACATATTTTTCTAATTACCCTCAGCATCTGTAGCGCATTGCTAGCTGCACGGGGGAGTTATTTGAATGCAGTTAGATTAGGCAAATCTAACTCTTACCTGCTGGGCAAAAAAAGAAAGAATAGTGCTTCAACGCTGCAGGCATTTTCACCAGAATGAAATTTAAATAAAATCCATAAACACCAAACAAAAGCCATGAGGACAGTTAGTTATGTGTGATGTTCCTCAGCTCTGGTGGTGCATTGGTTAAACCCTTTGACAGTGAACCTGAAGGTCAGCATTTCAAACCCACTAGCTGCTCTGCAGTGGGCTCTGGTGGCGGGTCCATAGCAAGTTGCACTGCTGACCCAAAGGCCTTGAATCTCCAGCAGTTTGTATCCACCAGCCGCTCCTCAGGAAGACAGGCAGCCTCCTTGTGGCGATCTACAGCCTCCGAGTCCTGGCAGAGGGTTGCTGTGAATTGGAACCAATTTGGTGGCAGTGAATTGAGCCACTTTAGGAGACGTAGAAGATGGTTTGCTTTTGTGAAAATTTCACATTCATTCGTTCTTATTGCTGTTGAATTGGAACCAACTCATAGCTGACCCTCCCAGCGGCTTTTCTGAGGCTGTAAATCACAAGGGATGAGATTGCCCATCTTTTCTTCCAGGAGACGTGGGTGGATCGAACTGCTAGGGACACGTGGTCTTTGGTCAGCAGCACAGCTACCTGTGGACTAGGTGACCGGAGTTCCTTCATAAAGGCTTACAGCCAGGAACTCCTGCAGACAGTTCTGCTGTCATACAGGGTCTCTGTGAGTTAGAATCAACCCGATGACGGTCTGTTAGCAAAGAGGGTGCTCTGGGCACAGGGACACCTGAATCTGACCTCCACTGACCCCACCATCCACACTATCCTTAGCATAAACCCAGTTCCCATGAGACTAGAAATAACCCCACACCCCTGTACGTACTTCTACCAGTTCTACCACCATCTGCCCTCCTAGGGCTCATGCTGCTCTTCTGCTGGGTCTAATAGTCCATTGTAGTGGCCACACAGAGCTCAGAGACCATACTCCTGTTTATGGCGTTTATTTGAGAAGTGAACAGTATACAATTCAGGTTGGAAACAGGATGCAGTTCTTTAATCCCGACCACTTCTCAGGTGTGCTTACAGGCCCTTTGACCTTCAGTGTTGAAAAACAGTGTTAAAAAAACTTCTTAGTCCTGCCAGTTACGATGTCCCCCACCCTTGGTCCTTGGTCTTTCATTAAGCTTGGACTAAAGGCCCTGACCCTGGTTCTGAGGGGCAGCAGCCCCAGAATAGCTCCTTTCATATCAGTGTCTGCTTTCCCACTGTTCCTGTTCTTGTCTTGATTCGACTGCAGAGGAAATCTCAAGAGCTACATTCCTGAGTCCTTTCTTGCTGGTAGAAATAGTCTCGTTTTCTGCCACTAAATCTGCTCAATTTGAACCTGGCAGGATGGCAAAACTGACCATTCGCATCACAACTAGTGTATACACCTTATTTGCATGTTCCCTCCCAGTCACGTGGTGAAGTCCAAGGCATTGTCCTTGGAAAGCCATTTTGACCATTTTGAAGAATCAGCCCCTACACCACATTTAGGGTTATTGTCAGCCAGGCTGTGTCGCAGCGAAGCTTGGCGTGAGAGCTGGTAACCTGCAGTTACCTCAGTTACGCTGTTCCCGCTGGCTCAGAGGGAGCACCTCTCCCCACCAAGTGCAACTCTAGTGTTTCAAGTTGCAGGACAATTTTTGTGGGGTTTTTTTTTTTTAAATTAACTGGCTCAAGCCAGTCACTTGAATTAATGTCCAGCTGAAGACATTTATTCGTTCCAGGCCTGGAGGAAAATCTGGCTGCATTTGTCTTCCTGCAGTCTAGTGCTATGCTTATTTAAGGGATTTGTAAAGGGAGTTTTGATAAATCCTAATTTGGCCATGTGAACCTCTTCTAGAACCAGACTCCCGAATAAGGGTAAGTGTCACAGGATGACAAGTGACGGTCATTCCTTTTCTGAGTGTTGGGTTAGGCACAGAGGCCAAAAGATCAAGTCCTGGTGCTTCTTTTCAGTTTCCAAGTGTCCAGTAGCTTTAGCGATTGTAGTTTGAAGGAGGAAGCCAGATGGAGGATACTAATGCCTGCCAACAATTTAAAATGAAAACCTAAAATGAAAACATCACGATAATTTTATTTTCTTCCCTTATGAAAATAATGTGTGTGTATATATATTATTTCATGCATATGGAAAAGCAAAAATAGCATTTCTTTGAAGATGTTGGTGAATATTTTTGTTAAGTTTCTGTGCTTGCTGTTTGCGGCTAACTTTGCAGTAGACAGTGCTCGGAACTCTTCTCTGTCACTTCCTCCCTGTGCAATGCCTCCCTGCCTTCCTCCTTGGTCCCCTCCCCCTTTAGCTAATGCCAGCTCATTGTTTTGGTCTCATTTTACAAAAATGGTAAACTTTTTCCTGACCTCTTAGACTGGTATTAGCCTCTTAAAAGGTACCTTAGCAGTCTTAAGTTGTTAGTAACCCTCAGCACTTTTGCAATTGCTTAAACATCATCTTTTTTCCTTCCAACTGTCTAAATAAGAACAGGAGTCAGGTCTGTCTTATTTGCCATTGTCACCAGGGACTAGCAAAATGCCTGGCATGTGGTCCCTGGCTAGTGTATATTTGATGAATTAGTTAAAGTTAGACCTTGTGACAGATTGTTAAATTACAAGTCCCCAGTGAATCACATCCTCAGTGTCTACTCAGTTGTGCAGGCCCCTCCCGCAGACACTGAGCTGGGTCACACGGCTTGCTTGGGCTGTTGGGACTCTGGCAGTTCCATAATTCAAGCAAAAATTTGACAATCACTTTTGCCTTTGGCCTGTGCCCTCTGGAAGCACTGTTGTTACCAACAGGACATGATCTGTGAGACGAAAGCCCACCAGGAGAGAGATCTAACTCAGAGCCCAGGGTGCAGCTGTGGGGGCAAGCCCAGGGGATCCACACAATCGTGGGGGGAGTGAATATACCTGAACTGCTTAGAGAAGTTTGATCTGAAAGAGATTTGAAAGAAGGGGGGAAAAAAGACATCAATTAACTCTGTGAAAATGGGTTGAATCACCACTTTTCCACTTCCAAGCAGCCTGGCACCAGCCCCCTGTGACACTCTCCCTCTGGCCCTCGCCGCCTGGAGCTCGGTTAGCTCCACAAATGAAAAAAAGTCACTGTCTTCAGACTCAGACTGTCGAGCAGGCAGGATCCAGTCACAGGCTGGAGGAGTCTGTGCAGCGTCCCAGCCTTCGTTTGACCTGGTTTGGGGCCTTCAGGATGCCAGCTGGCAGCTTGAGAGTCTGCACAACGCCCCTCGTCTGCCCCGCCGGCTCCCATTCACGGAAATGACTCACAGAACCCACTAAGTATCATACCTAAAACTACAGATTTCTTTTAACCCAGAAGCCAAATGAAGAAGCAGAGCAAGGCCTCAGGGTGTCCCAGCACCAAGCTTCCATGTCCTAAGAGATGTGCTCCTCTCCCCCGTTCCCTGATGGCTCACCAACCACTGAGCTCCTGGAACTTCCTTCCATGTCCAGAGCTCTTATTGGCTCCACTGCATAGTCACGCTTGGGGACTCACTGGGGGTTGCCTGACTGAATCGTGCCCTTTTCCTTCCTGAGGTTAGCTGATCATGGGGTCCTTCTGGATCGACCAGCTCCCACTTGCTAGCACAGAACTTCTTGTGTAGAGTATGTTGGTGGTGGTGTTAGGTACCATTGAGCCAACTGCAACCTTATGAACAACAGACTCAACCTTGACCTGGACCACGCTGGCCTCGTGGTCTATCAGACCATGGTTACAGTTCCTGTGTCAATCCATCTTTTCAGGGTGCTCCCAGGTCTTGATTGCAAAAAATGCACCTCAGTCGGAAACCAAGGCCAGATAGTTCTCTGTGAGGTGATTCAGGATCTCACACGTTACAAATAGCGGGTTTGAAGTAAAGAAAGAATTTTTTTTTGAAATGTGGAGGAGAGCTAAGCATTCTGAGATAGGTTGAAGCAAATCAGTTTGGGGGGCAGAATAATAATAGTAAAGGGTTCCAGGCATGGGTTACTTGGATCCAATCTGTAGGCAGAGGGAATTGGCCGTATATATTTGCCCCTTCCTTTATTCCAGAGAGGACGGGAGAAAAGCGGGGGTGTGATGAGGTAAAGAACCTTGGCAGTGCAGTGATTAGATGCGTGGTTGCTAGCATCTAAGATATGCAGTTTGAACCTGCCAGTTGCTCTGTAGGAGACAGGTGACTTGACTCTCTGCATCTGAAACATTTACAGCCGAGGAGACCCCTGTGGGCAGGACCTTGCCAGGGTCACTGCGAGCAGGAATGGACTCTGGCATTGGGTTTGGCTTTGGCTGGTGAAGGCAGGTTTCTGCAGTGGGTTGATGTGGAAGTCCGTCCTGCCAGACGGTGTCAGTTGGCTTGGATGTGTGCTCTGCAGTCTGTCTCACACAGGAAGGAGAGAGGTGGTTGAAGAGCAGAGAGAGGGGACGTTTGAGACTTTTGTGATGATTGGGAGCGCAAACGAACATGGTCTATTTTTTGAGATAACAGATCTTAGCCTGGCGAGCTGCTTTGCTAATTAAGTGTCTTGCCAAATGTTGCTTGAAATTATTTTGAGTTGTTCAACCAGAAAAGTATTAATTAATCGTTTCTCCCTATCTTCCCACTTCAGGTTTCAATGTGGAGACAGTAGAATATAAAAATATCAGCTTCACTGTCTGGGATGTTGGCGGCCAGGACAAAATCAGGCCTTTGTGGCGACATTATTTCCAAAATACCCAAGGTAAATGTGTTCACATCTGTAGCCTTGAAACTGGTTTTATGAATGTGTCTAAAGGTGGACACTTGAAGCAGTGAACCCCCCATGCTTGTCCCATTGTCCAGTTTCTGTAGACAGTTTTCCCAGTGCCCAGAATGTGTCTAAGCAAATCCAGACCGGATGCCCTTTTACTAATATATCCTGTAGTATTCATTCCTAAGATTGAAATGTGATCTACATGCTACTAATCATAACTTGTTGTTAGGTGCTCCACTAGCCTGCTATGTACCACAGCTCTGAACCCTGCTCTATCCTGAACCAACCTTATTGTCTCTGACTCACCTACTCCCATTATCCCAGTCACTGAGTCAATCCATCTCATCAAGGGTCTTCCTCTCCTGCGCTTTTCTCTCCCTCTCCCAAGCATGATGTCCCTCTCCAAGGACTGGTCCCTCTTTACAACATACCCAGCGTATGTCAGATGGAGCTTCAGAATCCTTGCCTCCAAGGAGCAGCCTGGTTTCACCATCTCCAGGACGGACCTCTTTGTTCTCCTAGCAGTCCATGGTACAGTCAATATTCTTCTCTAGCACCACAGCTCAAAGGCATCCATTCTCCTTCTGTCCTCCCTAGTTATTGTCCAGCTTTCTAATCATAGCTAGAAAGATAATATTTCTTTAATGTCTAGCACCCAGTCCTTATTTAAATTTCCTCAGCTACCTCCTATGTTCTTTTTGTCCTGGTTTTTGTATTAGATGTGAATCCCAGTGTCTTCGTTTTCTACTGCTGTTTTAATGGAGGTGCCACAGATGTGTGACTTTAACAAAAGTAGAACCTCCTTCTTCCATGGATTAATTAGGAGGCTGGAATCTGAGCTCAGGATGCCGGCCCTGGAGGTGGCTTGCTTCACTGTCAGGTCTGGAGGAAGGCCCTCGTCTCCTTGCAGTGTGCGTAGGCCCGGCATTCCTTGATGAGGCTCATCACGCAGGGACCCTGGTCCAAAGGACACACGTTCTGCTCCATGGATCTTCTTACTCGGTTATACTGAAGTTTGCTGCCTCTCGCCTCTCTTTCTTTTCATCTGTTGTAAAATAAAAGGTATTGCAGACCACACTTTAGGAAAACTCCCCTTACATGTCTCAGGACTGTGCTGGGTTACGAGTATTGTGTTGCTGCTGTTGTGTTGTCGTTGAATTGGAACCGACTCATAGCTGACCTTCCGGCAGGTGTTCAGAGGCAGTAAATACCATTGGAGGAGATTGTCTCTCTTTCTCCTTCAGAGCAGCTGGTGGATTCGAACTGCATGCTATTGGGATTGCAGTGCAGTTTCTTACCACTAGGCCACCTGACCTTACTCCTTTTCTGACTAACAGGCTTACTAGGTCATGGAGAATCTTTCAGCTGCCACGTTACCTAACTGCTGGCCCACTGAGAATTGTGTTGTAAACAAATTGACTCCTCCTTGGGGGAGCATAGTTCAGTCCTTGACACTCGTTATGGAATTGGGTAACTGCTTTTGCTGTGGCGTTTGCTTTGCTGTTGTGGTTCCATTTCTCTGTGGCTTCCCTATAAATGAGTTCTGGGGACTCAGTTATAGGCTCAACTTCGTGTTCTTGCTTCATGTTTTTGGGGCAAAAGCACTTTGTAAGTGGGCTGAGTATTTTCCTATCACATCACACCTTAACATAGAATGTGATTGCTACTGTTTCCATGATACTAAAATTCATTTGTTAGTTCAGATGATATTCCCCCCAAAAAAAGCCTATCTGACTTTCGCTCAGTGATTTTAGCATCCGTTGAGGATTATTTGTTTATATACATTATTTCATTAGAAATTAACTAAGTGGTGATTTTCTAAGTCTTATCATCTCTTCTATGTTTAATAACTGAAATCCTTCTACACAGAGAATTTCTTCATCAGGTATTTTGTTTCCCTGAAATATAATTTGTACAGGAAAGGGAAGACAAAGGCTTATTCTTTTTTTTTTCCTTTTCTCAATTTTCAGTGATAGGACTTGATATTTTAGTAACTTTCATGATAACTCATGGATTTTTAATTGTTATTGTTTTGACTTATAGATTTTTATATTTGCATTTCAGGCCATTGTAGGCATCACTCTTTTGATACTCAAAATGCCCTTTTGATTAGCAGTTTCCAAGTTGTGCAAACCTTTGTGATTTCTCAGCGTTTAATGAAACGAGAAACTGTAAGTTTGGCCCGCAAATCTGCCATGGAACCTTGGGAGCGTTATGTCATCTCTCCTGTATTAGCTTCAGCATCTAGAAAATGGAGATAATGCTTGCTGTGCTGGACCTTTGGGCTTCAATGTGAGAATTGAAGACACTCAGATGAGCGCTCAGATTGTATGAGGTTTACCTCACCTTCCGGCTGCATCCCTAATGCTCTGCCTATTCAGAGCTGTTACATTCAACCCCAAGGCAAATGCCTTTTTGTTTTTAAATTTCTGCTCATACCACGCCTCATTTACAAAGTTTCAGTAACTATTGCTTGGGTGGCAGGGAACTGGCTTCACTGGAACACCCGGCTGGGTAATTTAGACCAGACTGTGAAATCAGTAACTGGAGGAGAGCTGTATTTGCAGGATAGATTTGCTGTCTCTGGCAGGTCCAAATGTCTCAACCATGAGCAGTTTTGGATGCTGTCCCCTGTTTTTTCTGCCAGCTTCCCAAAGGTCAGGCTGTTTTTTGTTTTTTTTTTTAAATTGTCTTCATCAGTATGTTGAAGTGACAGAACTTGGTAATAGCTTTTGGCTCTCTTTAAGACATTAAACAGTATGTGGATTTCACTTATATATAGATTAAAATTTAAATTATTTTAGACCATGGAGCTTTCTGTGGTATATCTGTAAGAAGGACATCTCTGAGTTTCTCCTGCAGTGCTGGTCTTGTTTTTACAAACTCTC